ACTTTTGAATTGGGATGCACCTAAACAATCAAGATTTAATAGTTCAGCTAGCAACAGTTTTGCTTTCTTTTGAGACATCTATATGTTGGTGTGTCTCAAGATCAATGGTATTTTTAGATGCAATAAAAATATGGTGATAAAATGGAGAACAAGCTTGAAATGGCCATAGAAGGTCAAGCTTTTCCTTCAAACACTGAGGCATCGGAGAGAAGCAGGAAGCTATAAGATCACTAAAAAAGAAGAACAAAGAGAAGATCTGTAAAGTCACCTGGTGACAGGGGTGACACAGAGGTCACTGACCACAGAGATGAGCACAGCCAGCGGGGCAGGAGCCAGAAAGGCTCTGCCTGGAGGACCATGTGGCAGGACCAACCACCTGTACCTGGCCTGTACCGGCCCTGCCCTGGGACAGCTGACGTGGCGAGGGGTCACATGTACTTCTGGCTGCATCTGCATGCCACCCTTGGTCACCAAGAGGCAGCTCAGCCACAGTGGCTGGATGAGTTCCCTGTGGGCCTCCCTGATTTTTCTCCAAACTTCCATACACATACAACAGACAACCTATACCCTTCTATTTAATTGGAATCTTTCTAATGCTTGACTCAAATTTGATTTCTTCAATTAATTCTGGCTTGTTAATGACAATGTAATTGACAGAAGCAAGCTTATGTTATCAGCCAGCCCCATGTTTCTTATATGGATGCTTTGATTCCATTAAACTACAAATCTATCTCTCTTTTTTCCTACTACCCTGTAAACTTAAAGAGCATGAAAATCATCTTTTATCTCATATAGTTCAATTATATGACCAGTGGGTCTGGACATCAAAAGGTTTTGCTTCCCTTGAAATGCTGTGACCAACAGAAGTATAGTGGAGAGAGTGTCACTATGGAGAAACATGGGTAGAGAAAGGTTTACAACTTGAAAAACTTATCATCCATGATTACAAAGGACCCCAAGAAAACTACTGCAGTGGTGTCAAGGTTCTATATCTTGACCATGACGGTTACAAAAAATTGTAAAACTCAAGAAAAAGTTCCCTTAAAATGAGTGAACTTTATCATAGCTAAATTATACCTCAATAAAGTTGATTTGAAAGCATAATAGTCCAGGAACTAATTATTTAGCTTAGGGTATATCAGCTGCATTAACTCTTCATACTCTTTTAGTTGCTCAAATAACCACCTCATTAAGTCTCATAAAACACACTTGAAAATGGTAGACAAAATGCCAATGATATTCAGTAACTCCCATCTACTTTTTACAAGATGTGATCATTCACTGGCTGGAAGGGATGTGTTCATCCTGTCTGGTGATGCTCAAAAGCTGACATTAGGAGACTACCTTTTTCTCTTTTGTCTTCAAATGCAGGCAAAGTGAAGATGAAAAATATCCCAATCACTGGAAAAGACATAAGGAAGTCAAATTTATAAAAACAGAGGAAAATGTCACTATTATAGTGAGGAAGAAAATACAGGTGGAACTCTTTCAGATTCAGTATGCAGTGGTGCTCCTTTCTGAAGAAAAAGTCAGCAGTTTAAGGGCTTTATAAAAAAAAAAAAAAAAGTAAAAATGAACGATCCTGTTCTGCCACCTAGTGCAAGGTCCCAAGTTCAATCCCCAGTATCAAAAAAAAAAAAAAAAAGAATGATTCTTTAAATTAAATATAACTGTGCATGCTTGGATCCCAAATATAAGCATGAAAGACCCATACTGCACTTAAGTTACTTTGTTTATTTAACCTCTAAGCCCAAGATGATGGTTTGGTTTACTATGGGAACATGTTTCCTGAATGGAGAGGTTTACAAAACTAGTAAATATTCAGTATTCATATACCATCATCTTTCCTTGGTTTAGGGCAGTGGTGGCAAACCTAGGGCACGTGTGCTGCAGTGCATTGTTTGTATCATTGAAAGCTCTAAAAGGTTTGCCATCACTGGCTTAGGGAATTGAAACTTGAACTTTATTTATTTATTTTTGGTACCAGGGATTGAACTCTTGCACTTGCTTGCAAGGCAGGTGGCGGAATCACTGAGCTAAATCCCCAGCCCAGAAACTTGAACTTTAAACAAAAATGGAGAAGGAAAGTACACCCTGAGATGCTCGATAAACTACTACAAATCTCTAAGTCTGGTGTGTTTTTTGTTCTGTGGTGCTGAGGTCTGAATCCATGGCCTCACACTCGCTAGGCAAGCACTCTGCCACTGGGTCTGGATTCTACTACACTGTTCCTCCTGGTCTCTTACGATCAACTGAGTCAGTTTGTTTTGGCACTTGGGTGCAGAAACGCAGATAAGGAACACATGTAGGCACACAGCTGTTCCCTGTCCCCATTTGCCCACCTTGAGGATCAGGTCCCCTTCATGAAGGTTGCCATCTTTAGTTGCCAGACCCGTTTTGGTCATTTCCTTGATGAAGATCTGACTGCCTAGCCGGAGACCATACTCTAGGAGACAAACACATAAACACATATGTCATTAACTTGTTCAGAAAACAGTCTAGCTTTTAGGAACAATTAATAGTATTTATGAAAACTTAATTTTGTATATGAGACATTCTTAAGACAATGGCCTGGATTCTTCAATTAAGGGGGGGGCTGCTCTAGATTAAGAGAGACATAAATACCAAATGTAATTCATGAACCATTATCACATCATTGATCCAATGTGAAGATGAGGGTAATTATTTGAGCAATTCCAAAAGGAATCATACTAAAGGCTGTTAATGTTTGTTTCCTTAGGCATGATAATGTCATTATGGTGCTGCTGGAGGATGTTCTTACTCTTCAGAGATTTCACCTGCTAAAATATTTATGGGTAACAGGTGACACTGCCTGCAATTTGCTTTCAAGTGCTTCCTCATATAAACATTGTGAGAAAAAAGGGTAGAGGTTGGGGAGGAAGAGGGTAGAGAGAAAAGCAACAGGAAGAAAGCAAATGTAGCAAAATGCTAACAACTGGTAAAACTGGGTGAAGGTCATGTGGGTATGTGCTATAAAATTAACACTTTTTAAATAAAACGTTGGAGGAAAAAAAAAAACCTCAGGACATCTTAGCTGAACCTTCTTCTGACAATGAGTTGCCCGTAGGCATACTGTGCACACGATACACCTTCATCTCTAACAATTCAGGCTGTCTGGGCTCTGTTACTGGAAGACACTCAGCACATGAAAAGGGATTAAATAAGGCAGGCAAAGCTATTGCTAAAGCACTGAATGAAAACCAGCAGAGCTGGCAGTGGAAGGTTTGCACTTTGACTTGATATAAAAATAATGTTATTTAATAGGGCTGCATATTTTAAAATACTACTATAACTATTCTGACTTTACTTATTAAGAATGTAAAAAATAATACACAGGACCAGAGATGTAGCTCAGTGGCACTGTGCCTGCCTGACAAGTGCAAGGCCCTGAATTCAATTCCTGGGACCAAAAAAAAAAAAAAAAAAATACACATAAGGAAGAATTTTGGTTACTTTAGGAAGCCATCACAATCTAACATATTTGAAAAACAGTTACATTCAAATTTATAAAATTACTTTCTGAATGCAAATCTGATAACTGCAGAACAAAGTAACTTTCTATAATTTAGGAAAGTTATAAAGTATATTTTCAAATTTGCAAACAAGTGTTAATGATTTACAAAAACCCTGCTAGCACCAGTTCTGATGACCTGATTAAAGTGTTAAGGTGCATCACCCACCCCCTTAGCAAGACTGCCATCAATGAGTAACAGTGAGGGCGCATCTACTCCCACACATGACGGCTCTCTAATGGCAGCCAGCCTCAAGCCCATCACAGCAGGCTGGGACCTCGGGACCGGTGGACTGATCAACTACTTTCTAATAAATCGACATTCCCTCTACCTTCTTAAAAACCATAATCTTATGGAAAGTTTGCAGATTTATTGGTCTGTATGTGGAGAAGCCTCCCTCTTTTTTTTCTCCCTCTCTTTTTTTAAGTACAGCAAGTCCCCATTTATGAAAGAGTTCCATTCCAGAAGAACGATCATAAGTCTGACGAAGTGAATCTTATACACCTTTGACACAAATATACAATGTAAAGCATAAAAAATCCCCCCAAAAACCAAACACACACACAAATACTGTAAATAGACTATTTTTACTTTTACAGTTACCTTCAAATTGTAAGGTGGACACATGAGCTACATCCACAATTTGTTTGCATGTAGGAATGTTTCTAATGGGAGGTCCGTTCCTATCTTTGAAAGATCGCAACTTGAACATTCTTAAGTCAAGGACTTACTGTACTGAGGGTCAAACCTAAGTAAGGATTCTCTATCCCTAAACTACAGCCTCAGTTTTTAATTTTTAATCCTGAGACAAGGTCTCACTGAGTTGCCTAGGCTGCCCTTGAACCTGCAATCCATCAGCCTCATGGGTAACCAAGATTACAAGTGGGCACCACTGTGCTTATAGCAGGCACTGTTTAAATGAAGAAAAAATCAGCTAACCAGCTTCTAAGACATTCACAAGCAAGGTGACTCAATGCCTGTGAAATGCAATAACGGCTATATAAATGAACAGTACTTTCTTTTCTTTTGTCTTTGTGTGCATGTGTGGTATTGGGGATTGAACCCAGGGCTCTGCACTGAGCTACATCCCTAGTTCTTTAAAAACAAAACAAAACAAATTTTTTTGCTAATTTGTGCAGGCTGGGCTCAAACTTGTGATCCTCTTGCCTCAGCTTCCTAGAATGCATTTTTTCTTAATAAAATGTAGGTCCTGCCCGATGCCAGATTGCTTCAAAGGTTCATTCTTATGTAAACCGAACCAGTGATAACTAATTTATTATGTAATACTAGCAAAAGTAGCAACATTTTAAAAACGTGATGAGCTAGGGATGCAGCTCAATGGTAAAATACTTGGCTGACAGGCATGAGGTTCTGGGTTTTAAATGGGGAATGGGGTGGTGTGGTGGGGGTGGTCTAATGATTTCCAAATTTGGGCAACAAAAGGGCCAAGAAAGAGAAAAATAGCAAAGGGGCATAATGCCCTTTCTTCCTTGATTTAATGAGACCAATAAGAGCTTGGGTAGTTTCTTAGGACAATGTCTACAAATTGTGGCTATAGTCTATTAGTGGATCCTGAAATCAACTTGGTGAGTTGCACGCAATACTTTAAAAGCTTGATGTAATGGAACTGCTCAGGGAATACCACATAGAATAAGGAATGCTCCTTGAAAATTCTGTTCAAGTTTTTAATACTTAGGTGACTCCATGGCTGTCTACAAGACAAAGTTCTTTTCATGCCAAAGGAAGAAGAGAAAGAAGAGGGAGGGAATAAAGGAAAGAAAAAAGGAGAAATGTAAAAAGCAGTGCCTTCACTAACTCAAGATTCTGGGGTGCGTGTTCTATAGGATGTGATCAGGCTTCTCTAAAGGAGGTCTCTTGGGCCGGGGATTTATTAGCTTAGTGGTTCTGCCGCCTGCCTCCCAAGAGCAAGGTCCTAAGTTCAATCCCTGGTATCAAAAAAAATTCAAAAATAAATAAAATAAAGGAGGTCTTTTGCCAAATTCTCATCCTCAAAGACACAGGATGATTTTTTTTTTTTTTTTTGAGAAAGAGTCTTGCTATGTAGTTCAGGTTGGCCTTGAGCTCACTACATAGCCCAGGCTGGCTGCAGGACTTCATAGCAATCCTCCTGCCTCAGCCTCCCAGGTGCTGGAATTACAGACATGTGCCACCATGCCTGACTGATACAGGATGATTTTTATTTTCCCATTCTTGGGGGCTAATGGAATCTGCTCACAAATGGTTAGACCGGTTCTGTGAAATCTTTACACCTCCTGAGATTCACCAGAGATGAACTGAGATGATGCAGTCTCAACTTTCACCGTTATTTTCTTGGCTTGGATGCCAGTATCCCATTATTCTCCTCTCACTATTCCTCAGTTATTTCAACAGGCATCTAGTTATATAACTCAACTCTGCAAGCAAAACTAAGGAAAACAAACCCTCTCATCTGATAGAACATTTAAAATGCGAATTCCAAAATTTTAGCAAAGATTCTTTCGCTTGAACATTCTTGGGGGCTCTTCGTCCTTTTTATCTTGGAAGAGTAACAATTAGAGAAAAAAAGGAGATAAAAGATATGTTACAAGGAATTCCAAAAGTCAGAGGAACTGATGGTAGCATTAGTTGGATCCTAGGCTCAAAAGCCCTGTTCACCTCCCTACTTGCTGTCTACGGTATCAGCTCTTCCCAGGGCATGGAGTTTGAGCTCTGGCTCCACCATTTACTTAATGGCTTCAAGACATGGGACAAGTCACCTCTCCAGTCTGAGTCTCAGAAACCTCACCTGTGCATGGCAGGCAAGTCCTAGCTGTGATTGCATGTGGGCAAGCCAGAGCCTGCCTCCTCTGTGGACACACGCAACCCTCTCTATCCTGACCTGTGGCACAGGGTTCTGAAGACTCAGTAAGAGTTCTTACTCAGCATAGCACTAGGGTAGGGCAGACAAGACAGGCTGCAATACGGCCTTCGGCCTTGATTTCCCTCACTTGAGAGGCATCAGGCTCATAGGACAGCCTGTTAACACAGACTCCAGGGCTCATCCCACAGTTTGATTCAGCGGATCCGGGCTGGGCCTGAGAATCTACATTTTATCCTGGTGACACACACACTGCTTAACCGAAGGTGGAGAGTCTGGGCTGCCACTGAGACAACTTCGTACACATCAGTGGACCCTTCTGTGCCTCTATTTCCCCGCCTATAAAATAAAGACAGAGAAACAGTTCCCTCCTGATGTGGGTGTGAGGAGGAGATAAGCCAACAGGTGCCAGGCGTCTAGCTCAGCCTGGCACAAGGCAGGTGCCACACGCAAGCCATTACTACCAGAACAGTGCTCGTTTTCCTGCATCACGCCTGCCCACCTTCACTGGCTTTGTTCTTCATCAGCAGGACCCCGATGTGCCTGTCTGGATCAGGCTGGCCCCGGGGCTCCTGGCTGCTGTTCCTGGGGCGCTCGTAGCGCCGCTCCTGCTGGGCCCGGCAGCGACTCGATCCAGACGGGCTGTCCAGCCCGTAGGCCTGGTAGTAGGCGCGCTCATAGTCCCGCTCATAGTCCTGCTCGTAGTACCGCTCTACGCTCTGGCCACGGCGACAGTCCCGCGCTCGGCGGTCTTCGTGGTTCAGGCCACGCTCCAGGCTCTGGCCTCGGCTGTGGTCTTGGTCTCGGTGGTAGCCACGACCCCTCTCCGGGCTGCCCTCCCAGCTTCGGTTAAGCCCTTCACGGCTGCCTGGCCGGCTCCTCTCGCTGTACCCACTGCGGACACTTCTGCTGTCGAACTCGTCCATCACATCAAAAGCCGGGTCATCGTGACTGAGGGCAGGGCTGCCCTGGAGTGGCACCCCCTGGACTATCCGCGGCCGCTTGACCACCTGTCGTCAAACACACACAGTGTGGAGGCAGGACAATGACAATAAACAATGAAGGGGCCAAGGGCCCTGGTTCTACTGTCACGTAAACTATGACCTTCTCCATCCACAGCACCCGAAAAACAAACAATGCATCCCTTAAACAATGTTCCTGTCAGCTCACTAAGCCTCGGGTTCCTCATCTGGAATCAGGTCCAATAAAAAACTCACAAATTTAAAATAAAATAAGATGACTGAGAACCTCTGAGTACAATGTGGTGAATTTACCCAGGACACAAAATCTACACAAAAAGCAATAGCATTCCTGCACAATAAAGATGATCCCACAATAATGCAGGAAAAGTTCTATTCACAATGGCTTCAAAAAAATTAAATACCTAGGAATTAACCTAACCAAGGAGGTGAAAGATCTCTATAATGAAAACTGCAGAACTCTGAAGAAAGAAACTGAAGAGGACATTAGAAAACTGAATGCCAGTCCTTGTTCTTGGGTAGCCAAACAATGTTAAAATGGCCATATTATCAAAAGCAAGCTATAGATTTGCTGCAATACCTACTAAACTACCACAGAACTAGAAAAACAATCCTAAGATCCATGTGGAACCAGAAGAGCAAAGCAATTCTATGCAAAAAGAGCAAAGTGAGGGCTGGGGATTTAGCACAGCAGCATGGTGCCTGCCTGGCAAGCACAAGGTCCTGAGTTCGATTCTTGGTACCAAAAAAAGAGCAAAGTGGGAGAATCACAATACTGGATTTCAACTTATACTTACAAAACTTAAAGTAACAAAAGAAAGCATGGTCCTGGCACAAAAACAGACATGTAGATCAATGGAATAGAAAAGACATAGAAACCACCTCATACACTGACAGCCATCCAATTTTTTACAAAGAGCCCTACATCATACACTGGAGAAAAGATAACCTCTTTAACAAATGGTGCTGGGAAAACTGCTTATCCATGTACAGAAGGTTGAAAAGTGGATCCATCTCTCACCACAGCACCAGAAAATCAAATTAAAATAGATCAAAGACTTAGGTATAAAAATGGGAATTCTGAAATTGTTGGAAAATAACAGAAGGAAAACACATGAAGCCATAGGCAGATGCAACGACTTCCTGACCACCCAATATCATGAATCAAGAAATGGGGTTACATTAAATTTAAAAGCTTCTGCACAGCGAAATTGATCAACAGTAAAAAAAAAAAAAAAAAAAAAAAGAAGATCAAGCCACAGAATGGGAAAATATTTTGCACTACTCTTCTGATACAGAACTATCTAGATATGTAGAATATATTAACTCAAAAAATTAACCCCCCAAAACAAATGAGTTAATCAAAAAATGGGGAAATGAACTTAACAGACACTTCTCAAAAGAAGTACAAATGACTAGTAAGTACATAAAATATAAAATGAAAACTACTTTGAAATTCCATCTTATTCCAGTTAGAATGGCTATCATCAAAAATACAAAAAGCAACATCTGCTGGCAAGGATGCAGAGAAAAAGGAAGTCTTGTATATTGTTAGGGGAATGTAAACTTATACAACCCACCATGGAAATCAATATGGAGGTTCCTCAAAACACTAAAAAAAGAAATTCCATATGACCTAGCTATACCTCTCCTGGATATATTCCTAAAAAGCTTAAAGATATCATATTTATCATTTAATGTAGTGATATACGCATTACTCATGTTCACAGCAGCTCAATTCAAAATAGCTAAGCTCTGAAAACAACCTAGATGCCTGTCAACAGACAAATAGATAAATATTACTCAGCCATAGAGAATGAAATCATGTCAGTTGTAGGAAAATGGATGAACTTGATTCTACAATGGTAAGTGAAATAAGTCAGACACAGAAGGTTAAATAGTGCATGGCTTTTCTCATACAAGAAACCTAAAATATAAATAAATAAGTTAGTAAAATAAAGAAGAAATGGTAGGAAACAAGAAGGCAGACCTTTTGGGGAAGGTGTTCAAAGGGAGAGGGGAGGAAAGAGAAGTGGTAAAGGAACTGAAAATGATCAGGATATGTAATATGCATGTACCAATTTCCCAAAACAAACATTACTGTTCTGTATCACAAACTTACACTTATGACAGAAAAAAATATAGAATAGTACCTCCAAAATCTGCTTCTACTCAAGTGTAAAAAATTCTCAGGGGCCTTAACGCACTATGTTATGAAAATTAAAAAGTGACACATTCTTTATTTACTTGGCTAGATAGATCAGTGGCGGCAAACCTTTGGCATCTATGTGAGAGCAGGCTGTTTCACTGAAAACTCTAAAAGCTTTGTCATCACTGGCCTAGGCCCTTCCAAAAGTTAATGCCATTAAAGGTGAGGGGTAAGAGCTGGGGCAGGGTGTTCCAGATTAATGGGAACTAAGGAAATAATCAAATGCAATGAGTGGGAACTTGGATCCCGAAAGAGGAAGGGAAAAAAGTGTAATCACAGACATCTTGACATGCTTGAAATCCCAGCACTCTGGGACGCTGTGGCACAAGGATAGCAAGTTTGAGACCAGCTTGAGTAACTTTGCAAGACCCTCTCTCAAAATAAAAAATAGAAAGGGCTGGGAATGTAGCTCAGTACTGTGAGAAAAAAGGATATCCTGAAATATGGATACTAGATGATATTGCACTTATTACTATTCTTAGACATGGGCCGGCGATTTAGCTCAGTGGCACCACGCCTGCCTGGCAAGCGCAAGGCCCTGAGTTTGATTCCTGGTACCAAAAAAAAAAAAATTCTTAGATATGATAACAGCATTATAGTGGGTAGAAGACTTATTCTTAGGAGCTGCATGTTGAAGAAAGTAGAACTCAACTGTCAAGATGTCTGCAACGTGGCTCAGAGAAGAGAATCTCGGGCCTAAAGTACAGGATATGGATAAGGAAAGGCTAGGAAGATAACACATACATCTCCAACAGTCTATGTTATGGTTTGGGTCTAGATGTGCCCCCAAAGCCTCGTGTGGTCACAGGCTTGATCTACAGTGTGTGAAGCTGGAACTGATTCGTTATGCAATGCTAGGCTCAAGGGCACTAGGATTAAGGGTGTGAGTGCTACCTGCCCTAAGTAGTAGAAATAAGATAAAAGGGCATGGAGACGCTGTTAACTCTCTCTTGTTACCTTTCCTGCCTTATGTGTACCATGCTGTTTCTGCTCTGCCATGCCTCTTTGTCATCCCTGCCTTGGAGCTGGCTAATTATGGACTGAATCCTCTACAAACAGTAAGCCAAATAAACCCCTTCCCTCTAACTTTGGGCATCAGGTATTTTGTCTCAGGAATGAGAGAAAAGTAACTAAGACAGTCTATAATATCACCCTCCAAAGTTCTGAAGATACAAGTACTATAGTTAGTGGGCCTATCAGTTACGTAATTCCATCAAATGCTCAGAACCAAGTGGCAGTTTTCTTCTGGGTATAAAAACAAAATGCTATGGAGCCAAAGATGAATGTAAAGTCAGTACTTACGATGGCAGCAACCTTTCCACTTTTCCTTAGCTGCTGAATGGCGAATGAATGCAGGACACCCTCCATGGAGGTGCCGTTAACCATGACCACCCTGTCATTTTCTCTGTGAGCAGGAAGTAAAAACAGGTCGTGAAAAACTTACACAGAATAGAAGCAGCAAATCCACCCTAAGTTCCGTCAACTTAGTGAGACAGTGGAAACCACACAGCTCAGTTCTGAGTGTCTCCTGAGAAATGCCTGGATACAAAGAGGCCTGCCCTTCTCAGATGGAAGTCACTCCAGGGGGTGCCCAGCTGGCACCGAAAGGAGTTTTTTAATCAGTCCCTTGCTAGCCACAGTGTGTGGTGGGCTTCAGACAGTCTATAAGCACTCTCCCAAACAGGGTATATCCATTTGTGCCTGTTTCTCAGGAAGATCAAGAGCTTGCCTCAGAGAGTTTGAGAAATTTTAAGATCACAGAATCCTATGGCTTCAGCTCATCCCAAAAAATCATTTTAAAAGTTTACATTGCTCCGTATGAAAGACTAGTAACTCATTAAACTAGTTTCCTCATTAAAACATTTTTTCCTGGGCTGGGGGTTTAGCTCAGTGGCACCATGCCTGCCTCACAAGTGCAAGGTCCTGAGTTCAATCTATGGTACCAAAAAAAAAAATTTTTTTTCCCTGCCAGTGCTGGGGATTAAACCCAGGGCCTCATGCATGCTCAAGCAACTCACTACCACTGAGCAACTTGACCAGCCATTCTCATGAAACTCTAAGAGCCTGGAAGATGAGGTGGGTGGGCTCATGGGGGCTTAAAACTCCATATTCAGAAATGATTCCGGAAACCTAGAAGAAATGTTGGCAACTGTCTTCCATGGGAAAAACTCCCCTCCAAAACTGGATTTTCATCAAGGTTTGGAGATTATTAAAACATGATATATTAGTTATGACTTGAAAACTTCATGTTACATTAAATATTTTTCAATTTAAAAAGTACGCTCCAACCAAAGCACCCTGTCCAGTGCCCACTGGCGTGGCTGGTATGAGTTTGGAGAGGGCACAAAGGACACTCACTTAAGCAGACCATCGGCAGGCCCGCCTGGCAGCACATCAGAAATGACGATAGATGTCTCTCCATTTTCAAAATGGGGGTTGTCTCTGCCTCCAGACACTGCAATTCCAAATCCTCTTTTGGAATCCTGTTCATTGGAATTAGGAGAAACAAAAAAATCCTTCTGTAAGTGGCTTTCAGGATTTACTAGAAGAACTCAATAAAATAAAGGTCAAATTCATAACCAGAGACAGCTCAGGAACAGATGGGCTTATAGAAGTAAATGAAAACCAAAATAAAGTGTCACTGTAGTGAGCTGACAGGTTTATAAACGGAAATTCTTATCTGAAAGGAACAGCCTTGCGCAAGCTGGAAAAAATGGATAGCAGAGACTGGAGTTATCATGAGAAGCTGCCGGGGCAGGGGAAGGAAACAATGTCTTCTGTCTAAACAGGGTTGCACTGTGCAAAGCACCAATTGGACCTGCTTGGGTCAAGCTGTCCTGAGCTGGAACAACTTCAGTTAAAACTGAATCTGTGAGAACTAATTTTAACCCAAAATTCAATGAATTGGTGGTTTCATTTTTAACACAGGGTAAAAAGAAGTACCTGGATTTTAAACATAAAATCTGAACATAAAATTACAGTAGTATTGAGATCTTATGAGGGCCAAGAATTAAACCTTTTTCTACATGCGTGGAAGATGGGAAATCAAGATTTATTACATCCATGATTGGTCCATTAATGAGAGCTAGTAAACCCAGATCATATACAATTCTACTTCATTTCAGTGGTTATAAAAGTAAACCCAGTTCCATCCACATTATATGGGTATATGTGGCAGTATAATCCTAAATCTAGGCTGACAAAACAAAAATCTACTTGGAATGAAAGAAAATCTTTAGCCCCAAAGAAAAGTTCCTGTGTGGGGCCTTGCTATGCCGACTGATTACAAATATCTCAATTCAAAATACATTGGGTTTTTGTCTACTTATCATGTGGCTCTGCATTTGGCAGGACCAGGCATCTGGTTTTAAACAGGGTCAGTTCCACCCTCTATAACAAGCCCAAGGAGTCCCTCACTTTTTCCAGTGGAGGGCCACAATTCAAAGGATATATGACATGCTGGCGGAAAGAACATAGGCAGGAGTCAGTAAAATGACTAGAGTTGAAAACCACAACCTAAACAGGCATAATTCCTCAACTAAGAAGTGTAGATTACTGACCCAGAAGTTTGAGCACCTGGGCACTGACCCAGTGACATTTTTCCCTCCCTAGATTAAACAAACATTTAATTTGAGAACTAAATTTTCATTAACAACAGGGATCAAAGCTCATACGTGGTTTTAAGAGTCAAAGGGAAACTTCCCCTTTTTTTTTTTTTTTGGTACCAGGGACCAAACTCAGGTCCTTGTGCTTGTGCAACAGGCGGTGAAACCACTGAGCTAAATCCCAGCCCCGAAACTTCCCCCTTTGAGGAACTTAAAATCCCTCAAGAAACTGACAGAGCCTGGAGGGATTCAGGGTGGGAAGATCATTGGGGGACTCCCTTGTCTGGAATGTGTGAGGCCCTGGGTCCAACTCCCCAGTAAGAGAGGGCGGCACAGAGAGAGACAAAGAGAAAGATGAAGCAAGAGAAAGAAAAGAAAAGAAAAGAAAAGAAAAGGAAAGGAGAGAGAAAGAAAGAAAGAGAGAAAGAGGGGGGGGAAGGGAAAAAGAAGAGGAGAAAAAGGAATTGAGAAGTGGATAAAGACGATGTGGGTTTTTTTATACAATGGAGTACTACTCTGCCATTAAAAAGGATGAGCTTCAGACATATATAACTAAATGGATGACCTTGAAACCATATTCTTAAGTGAAATAAATTGGAAACACATATTTAAATACTGCATTGTTTCTCTGGTATGAGAAACTGAACGTGGAAATAAGGACTGAGATGTATAGTGGATGTTGGGAAATGGGAAGAAAGTGTTCAAATGGGAAGGGGAACAAGGGGGGAGGGAGGGAGAAAGGAAGGGACAAGAAAAAAAGTGAAAATAGAAGAAAAAAACGAAAACAAAGCTTTTGTACACAGGACAGGGAGGCTTGGAGGGAATGGGATGAAATAAAATAAAATTTATTTCAAAAATTTTAAGAAAAAGCTTAGAACAAAACAAAAAAAGAAAAGAAAAAGGCCTGGAGTGAAGATCTAAAGCACACAAATGACTTAGACTCTCAGTTGCTATGCTTCTTTAGAATGGGGCTAACAACTATCATGCCTACCTTGAACTCTGCTGTCAGAAAAAAAAAGGAATGGGGCTAACTCATATTTGTTTTTTATTAGTACATGTCTGCAAAACATAATAATTTCATTCATTGTGGGGAGTTGGTACATGTACATAATGCATCTTAATTTTTTTTAATTAAGTACTGATTACTTGGCAGACTCCATGAATTGGAAGCGGCATATATTACTGCAGTGGATCAAGAAAGGTAATACCCACGAAATGACTTTTAAATTAAGTAAAATATATTTATGTGTGGTATTCTACTTCCAATGCCCCTTGATACAATCATGGGTGGGACAACATGTCTCCTGACTGATTCCTAAGCCAATCTTTTCAAACTTAGTTTGCATTTAAATCTAATTTGAGAGAGTTATAAAGTATGTATGTTTTTATTTAAATTACATAAGTTGCAAAAGTTACCTGAGTGTCCTTTAATGGTATGGCCTTCCCCTCCTTTTCTCTCTTTCATAAACTGTTCTGTCTGGAGATAGGTGAACGTACTAAGTAATCTCCAAAGTGGTCTACAGTATATACCTTAACCAAAACATGCAACAGCAGCCAAATCTTTGTTAAAAGGCAATTACTGCCAGCTAATACCAACAATGCATCAGCCACCGCAATGAGGAAAAAAATAAAACTGCATGTGGACCAAAATAATAACCCTGAACTATAAAACACAGAAGATGACTGTAGAACATATGACATATGCAGAACTCACCTTTTGTAGGGTCACTGTGTACTGTTCCCATTTTAGTTCCTCCATGCCTGGGCCCTGTTTTAAAACAAAACCAACTTGATTAAAACCATAAATGTCTTGATGCTAACACCAAAATTATAATTCAAAATGCCTCAGTATATAAAGCCTTGCTCACACTTTCTATGTAACAAAAAAAAGTGGGTATTTGTTCAGAATGTTGTTACTTACTTTCATACAAACTCTCTTTTCATGAAATGGCCATCTTACTAATCCTAAAAAAAAACTAGTGAAGCACACAGTGAGAGACAAGCCCTAAAAAAGGACAAGAGAGTCCTTTTATTATCATCCTTTATCCTGTAATAATAAATCCCTTTTTAAAAAAATCTCATGTGAGGGCTGGGGATTTAGCTCAGTGGTGCCAGCGCCTGCCTGGCAAGTGCAAGGTCCCGAGTTTGATCCCCGAACCCCCCGCCCCCCCAAAAAAAGAAAAGAGAAAAATCTCATGTGAGCTGGAAAGCTGAGGCAACAGAGCCACAAGTTCGAGGCCAGCTTGGAGAACACAGCTAGAGCCTCTTTGAGAAATAAAACAAGGGCCGGGGATTTAGCTCAGTGGCACCAGGCTTGCCTTGCAAGCACAAGGTCCTAAGTTTGATCCCCGGTACCAAAAAAAAGGAAAAACAAAACAAAACAGGAGCCAGGGATTTAGCTCAGTGGTGCTGCCCCCTGCCTCACAAGTGTAAGGCCCTGAGTTCGATCTCCAGCACCGCAAAAAAAAAAAAGTTTGTATTTTGTGTTTCTGTTTTACTTTGTAAGCCACTTTCCCACTTGTTCCCATCAAAGGTGAGCTCTCAGGCAAGTTTTTTCAAAGTTTAAATCTGAAGTCCTTGGTCTTAAAGGGTGTGCCTAATGGGTAATCTGTGGGAACTTGAAGTTTTTCTCTATCAGCAACACTGGGTACAAGGGAAGAAAATGCCTGCATATAGGCCACTGGAGCTTCTGTTCTAAAAAATATTCCAAAACAGATGTCTAGGAAAACTTCAAACTAATCATTTTAATAATAATCCATTAAATATATACTGCCACCTTTGAGAAAATTATAAAAGCCAAAAATGCTCAAAGCCATTGATGCAGGCATTTAAACAGGAAAGTTCCAAACAGTGTTCCAAACAGGCTGTGACATCAGATCAGATATACTAAGGAAAGTAGTATCTCCATGCAGATGGAGACAACAGAGATGCTTCCCCATCTCATGGATACTGTGGAAATAACTAAAAATATCTCCCTGGAGAAATCATATCAACCTGTATTTATGTTTGGAACTGAAATTCCTATGTGATGATACAGCCCTTAAAAACATGCTCAAAATGCTTCTGCACTGACAGTCACACCAACAGGTACAAAGGCAAAGGTAAATCCTCTACAAGGAGCACTCTTCAACACAGGTATAATTAATCTTGCTGATATGCAACTAGGGAAGATGAGCTCACAACTTAAACACATACACAAAATAAGTCACCATGAATGGGAGTTAAATATAAATGGAGGAATCAAAGACTGTAAATATTAGAAATGCCAGTCACAGATAGAAAACAGTATATATAATATGTATCTCATGTTTTAAGAAATTAAAAGGAGACATTGAAAGTATACTAAAAGAACAAGAGGTCACAGAAAATAAGAAACAATTTTAGAAATGAAAAAACTAAAATTATATAAACAATGGATTAAATCATGTACTACACTGAGTTCAAGACAATGAATTATAAGGCAAACGTGAACAAAGTACCCAGCACAAAGTCTCCAAAAGGTGTCAAAGTGAAAGAGAGGTTGAGGTTCCTGGAGAAAATAAGGGAAAGGCTGGGGGTAACTCGGTGACAGAGAGCATGCCCAGCATGTGGGAAGCTCTAGGTTCAATCCCCAGGACACTAAAGAAAAAGACAGTAAGGGAGAATTTCAACATCCAAGCAGCAAACAGCTAATGGCTCTTCCAAAACTGAAGGTTTTCGGTTTGGTAACACAATATATCACAAGCAGGGTAAATATAAACAAGAAAAGAAAATCACAGATGCTTAAATGCAGGGCATCTCACTGCAGAAAAGGATGAATGGAACTTGAGAGGAACTAGACAAAAGAAAGATTAAAAAAGAACAATTAGGATAGCTGACTTCTCAGCAGTAACAACAGAAGCTAAAGACAGAATAACTTCTTTACAAAAATCTGTCAATTAGGTGGCAGAAAAGATATTTACAAAAACAAAAACCAAGTCAGATTATTAACACAGACTAGTAACAAAATAATTTAACAAAATGATTTAACAAAAAAATTTAAGAAAGGAATATAATCCCAGAAGGAAAACCTAAAATGCAAAAAGAAATACCAGTAAACCTAAATGCATGCTGACTATATAACTATAATAATAATGTCTAATTTGTAAAACTTACATAAGCTAGAACTAAGCACTGGTCAATTTTGTACATCAAGAGGACTCAGTCCAAATTGTTCTAAAAGTTTTATTCAGGAGCAAAGTAAAGTTACTGACTGATTTTTAACTTAAGTTAAATCTACTTGTTAAATTTTTACAACCACAGTGGAAAAAATAAAATTAATTCAAGCAAAAAGAAAGCAGAGGACAAAAGGGGAAATGCAGAATAAAGCAAACATAAAACAAACTATCGTTTTAAAAAAGAATACAGGTGCTCTCTTCAGCAGCACACGTATAATAAAAAATACATAAGAATATAGATAATCATAATATTCAAAAGCAGGTTGTCAGGCTGAACTAAAAACAAGAAGAGCCACTATACAGTTAATAGCAAATATGTAAAACCTAAAGATACACAGTAATCTACATAAAACAAAGACTTTGCTGGACTTATATATAAAGAAAAACTATGTAATTTTACATTTAAAACAAAAATTTTAAATCAAATTGGGCAATACCACACTGATACTACTAGGACAGGTGCAGAACTGAAATGTGCTTCTTTTCTTCCCAGCTAACAAACACCTAGGCTTGGGGAACAGAGGGCTACGAAAAGGTGATTGTGTTTGCAGAGAAGGTAAACTAGTGACTAAAACTGATTACTCAAACTGAGAGGAATCCTGTGTATGACCCTGTGGTTCCCTCCACCCTCCATGTACTCACTTCTAGGTCATCACCATGGCCAGTACCATCTGGCTCCAAGAGATCAGAGTTCTCAGAGCCTCTGCAGTTTAAAAAAAAAATGCAAACAACCGGGGAGGAGGGGTGCAAGGCACTTTGCTGTCTGTATACCTGGGGCCTGGCGGCATCCAGGGTGGAAGGCACAAGCATCCCAGGGGCGAAGGAGGTTAAAGAGAGGCGTAGTCACATAACGCAGTCAGTAGGTAAACACTCAGAAGGATTTTTATCTAAATTATGTAAAGAAACCAAATTATTTGTTCACCATGACCACTCTCGTTCAGTTTTTTAAAGCGACTGTCTCCATAAATATACACAATTTTAAAAATTTTTTAAATGACTGCATTTTCAGGTGAGATTTTTAACTCTTGCTTTTGCTTCACTGTCTCCTAGAACATAGTGTCTGGCATCCATAGCAGACACTTAAACATTTTTTTCAATAAATCAAAGGATGGTTACACTATGGAGTCACCATTCAATTAATAGGATTAAGGCACTGATTACTATTACCTGTAAGTTTTCTTTTAAAAACGCCTATTAAATTCAGCATCTTTGTATACCCTCCCCCACCTTATTTTGTGAACCCAGGGCCTTTGCACTAAGCCATATCTCCAGCTGTTTTGTTTTTCCCCTTATTTATTTCAAGACCTCATCACTTTGCTCATTAAATTGCTAAACTGCCCGGGCTGGGCTCACCTTGTGATCCTCTGGCCTCAGCCTCCCAGAGAGAGATTATAGGTGTGCACCACCACACCTGGATCTCTGCTTCCTTAACAAGTCAGGCCCCTACTGTAAGCTTTTCTAGATATGTGTTTATAGTCATGCCTTTCTAGAATTTCAATACATGTCTAAATTAGCATTTTCTTAAAAGTTCAAGGTAAAATAATATTTTCTATTACTGTGCAGGGGAAAAGGGTGAATCAATACATGCATACATAATGCAGTAACTCAGTTTTCCATATATCTTGAATGTATATTTCTAATACCAGATTAAAAAAAATAATAGCACAGAAAATATGGACTACAAAACATGATGCGTCTAGCACATTTAACACATTCCTGTTGGCTTGAACCATCAGTAGCAATGCGCGACTGTCCCATCGGGCGGCTTTGTATCACCTGATGGGACTGTTCCATGCCACCAATAGGACAGTCACGCATGTACACTGGTGGGTAGGAGCTGCCTGACAGCGAGACATATGAATGTCCCATGGTGAACGTGTTAAACTATGCAGGTATCAAAAATTTCAAAGATTACATTTTATTTGAAGATTGTATATTTTAACTGGCTTTACAACTCTAACACAACACATAAAAGAAAATACATACCAAGTATGTATTGCATTATATCATTGCAATAATTATCGGAAGTCTAGATATTGAGCCATCTCAGGTACTGGGGTGGGGGAAGAGTCGTGGCACAATTGTCTTTTCAATTTTGGAGAGTTTCCTATGGCTACAAGGGAAGTAATGGGTTGGAAAAAGCAACCGAGTGTCGGACACCTTCACAGTGTAGTGCGTTAGTGACTTTTTCAATATGGCTCTTGTAAATTAGATCCGTGTGGTGGTGTTTCAGAATGCTGGTTTATGTGGCTAGTTCAAACAATACGAGCAGTAGTTCCCTGCTACTTGTTCTTTTTAAGTGAAAACTGCAGAGAAATAAAAAATACATATTAAACCAAAAATTAGCATTTTCCAGTATGTGTTAGTTTAACACACCTAGATCTTAATCACAATGGATATTAGAAAAAAAAAATTCTTAAAAGGAAACAAAAAGCAAAAACCAAACTGAACTCTTGAAACAGTTGTCCCTTTCTACATAAAACACTTTCTGGTCCTTACACCCTTCAATTTCATTTCAGACGTGGCTCTCATAAAAATAACCCACCACTGCTTGGAAATGACCTTATGAGCA